TGTAGTTTCTTTACCTATAACCAGTTTTGTAGAGATGTTTTAAGGAACAATGAGTCATAATTGCTTAGTTCTTTAAACTCCTTGGATGAAAGATAAAGCATTCTTATTACCTATCAGACAGAAAGCAGTCTCCAGTCAAAAAGAAACCAGTAAGATATAAAGTATATGGAGGCTCTATCCACTTGTGTAATATTTAAAGTTATAATCTGGGTATAAATTAAATGAGCTTAATGCTGGGTAAACATGGCATCTTTGATCTAAAAATCCCAGGGCACTTTTCAAACATTGTCATCTGTTCTCAAAACAGCCTATTGTGTATGTCACTAACACCAGCCGTTATAATTCTTTCTTCCTGAGGATTATGATATTCACAGAGCTTAATTTTCTTTCTAAAGGTCACCACCAAAGTTAGTATAAAATCACAGAAAGAAGATAACCTCTCTGGGTTTATTCTATCAGTCCTATTTTTTTTCCAAATAGGCAAACAAAACACCTCAAAGCCAAAATAGAAACTATGGAACTGTGGGGATGAAGGAAGAGCTTAAATAAAACAGCCAACAAACTTTTATTCCAAGGTAAATATCTATCTCTTTTTTATCTTTAGTACAGGGAAAATTTAGTATTTTGTAATAGATTGTTCTGTCCTACGACGAAAAGTAGAGAAAAGAGACTAAAGACACCCTAAGAATAGGGACTTTGGCAAAAGGGGTGAAATAGAGACAGAGATGAGAAGGAAATTTTATAAGTTCACTTTTTTCCTTCTCTTTCAAAGGAAACCTGTAATATTATTAGTATCATCAGAACAACTGACCTAGTGGAAAGAGGGAGGGAGACAAGCAATGCCCAGAGCCAAATATTCAGAGCCTGTAAAATCATTTTCATTTCTTTTAAAATCAAAAGAAATAACATGATCCAGTGTGGACTGAATTTGTCTTTATACCAACATAGCCATAGAAGACACTTTTAAATATTTTTTGAGGTGAGAGAGGTCCACAAAGGCAACAGTACCTAGTGCCCGTGAAAGTCAGGACATGGCCCTGGAAATGCTCTAATTTCAGTATTGTGAGTTATTGGCATCATTAAGAACCTAAAAAAAATTCTGGGTCCCTGGCTAAGAGTTGATTTATAAATATTATACACCCGCCATGAAACTAAAAATGTATGTATATACAAGTTCATTTGCTTAGGGATAAAAAAAAAAAGACTTGGATGATATTAACCCCCCAAAACAATGTTCTTGGTAATTTAAGTAGAACACACTTGTAAGAAGCCTTCATTTCTTGTTAAGAACAGCATTATCATTTTCTAGAAAACATGAAAATCATCAGTGTCAGGTATGAAAGTAAAACTAGGAAAGTTGGAGTTTGTGCTGCCTGTCACTACCAGAACCAGTAAGTAGAGACAAAGATTGGATCTTTATGGGTGCTTAACCATCTTAACACTTCATTTCAAACTGACCTTTTTATCAGGCCAAGAAAGGTAGGTAAGGCCTTTCGGAAAAAGGTTAATTGAATAAGAGTTGCAGGAAGGAAGCGATTTTTCCTTGTACTTCTTTATCTGTTAATCAACAACTCAGATACCTTCTCTGTTGCTTGCAGACCCCCTGGGGCTCAAGGATTGAATTGCTCATTGATGCATCCCAACTCCTGGAAAACAGCTTTCCACCTGCATTAATCACTTAAGCCTATTATCTAAGGCTAAAATCTTTAACTCTGGAGTTCCCCTATCAAAAGAAAGTTTCTTGCTTTGCCCCTGCCTTCATACTCCAGGCAGAGAAGAGGTAAAAAATCCTTTAATTCTTAAGTGGAAGTCAACCTCTAATGTGTGGGTGTGCCAAAAAATCCATTACTGCTGAGAAATCTTTGTTAGGACAAGATGTTATATCACCCTCACAGTTATTTATGTCTCTTTAATTATTACCTTCATGATGGGCCAGGCATCACCTTTCTGTTGGTTTAGAGGCTATATATTGTGGAGTGTTCGGTGTTTTCAAAGATAGGGCAATTCATTTAATGACCGCACTATTTGTTAGCTTGATCTGAGGATACCAAACAATCAATAATATATGTTCCAGAATTAGGGATTATCTATTACAGCTTCCAAGAGGCATAATTTCTTTAAATTTTTTTTTCATTTTGAGGGTACACTTATTTAAAAACTGGGTACAGCGATACAAGGGAGGACCTAGGATAGAAGAAGCAACGGGAGAAAGCTTACGCAGGCAGGGATGCTTCGGCTCTCTAGAAACATTACAGGAAACCAGTGAGCCAAGGCAGGGCCACTGCTGGCTCACTGGGGAGTCAGGTAAAAAGGGCCTTGGGGACAGGTTCAGGGGATTAGCCCAGGACAGGTGCTGCTGCCCATTGCTCCCCTGGTTCCAAGTCTCTTGGGGTCCCTTAGGGTTTAGGAGATGTACGCCTGTGGAGGAAGGCGTGCTCCTGGGAGAGAGAGTGCCCAGACAGAATTTCTAAGCTGAAAATAGCTACAACAGCTTATTAAAGTGTCATTAAGAAGTTTCAGATAGCTGCATAATTTTAACTATTGTTTAAATGAAATAATGTAGTCACAAACCAAAGTTGAAAGATGACTTTATAAAACTAATTTGTGTTCAGTAATATGAAGAAATACAAAACATTAATTTTGCAAAATTTATATTTTAAAAGTACATTCTAAAAAGACAAATTAAGCTGTGGCCGAGTAGCTAAATTGGTTAGAGCGTCATCTCCATATACCAAGGTTATGAGTTCAATTCCCAGTGAGGGCACGTTCCAGAAAGAATCAACCAATGAATGCGTAAATAAATGGTACAACAAATCAATGTTTCTCTTTCTCTCTCTCCCCCTTCCTCTCCCTCTAAAATAAAAAAATTAAACATAAATTAAGATGTAATAATTTGGGGGTTATTGCATGGATATTTAAATACTTTTTATAACACATATCGATACATTAGTACAGGGGGTTGGCAAAAGTAGGTTGACAGTTGTGAGTTAGTGAAACAGAGTTTATTCTTGTATTATTATTTTATTATTATATTTTCCATATGAACAACTGTAAACCTACTTTTAACCACCCTGTATGTGAACTGAATATATGCAATTCAACAAGTACTAGGGAAGCTACTATGATGGGCTGTGCTTCCAAGGCTGACAAAGATAAATAATGTGCCTTTTTGGCCTTCTAGATATATCCAGAGTAACAGAAATGATGTAGAACTATGGAAATGTTTACCACAAAAAAAGAGGCAAAAGGTAGGATTGTTTTCTTTTTAAAGTACCAGAAGGAAAGAGATTAAGGTGAAAATCCCTTTCGGTAATTTCTGAAGATTTCCTCTAGTGTGTGGTTGAGATGATGCTGACGTTTGGGCGCAATGTCTACCCCGCGGAGGAGAGCCAAACATCAGGGCGAACGCAACTTTGTAACAAACGTGTGGGACTCTGAAGCGATTAATACTAAAAAAGTTTTCATAAAACAGTCTGACATAGATATGAATAAATTTAATGTTTAATTAGAGAATTTCATAAGGTATAACGTGGCGAGTAAAATTCAAGTTCCAAATATGTGATACCTTCAGTTCTGTCCGGTAGAATCCCTGTCTCCCCAACCAGTAGGCAGTCCCTGGCCGTCTCTGCGGTCTACCTGTACCCGCCAGGATGCCGCAGGAGAGACGCTAGAGCAGCATCCCTGGAGTGGGGCTCGCGGATTGCTATTTCGTAAAAGTTCTCCAAATACGCTTAACACGTAGCCGATTCGCAAACCGCCAGGCTAAATTGCAGTTTGGCAATTTTGGTCTTCCTGGTGACTGCTCTTTTCTCGTGTAGCTTCCACCTTACTAAGGGTTTACGAGGGCAGCAGGCACACGGGGCCAAGCATTCTTTTCTGCATTATCTCATCTAACTTCCGTAACTACCTTTGCGGTAGGCGCTGTTTCTAGGTAACTTCCCGAGTTACTGCCCCATCTCGGAGCTCAAGAAAATTCCCAGTACTCAACCCTGCTTCTCTCCCGTCATTCACTCCCGAGAGGGTGCCGTCGAGAACGCCGCAGTCTCAGCAGCTCTAAATGCACGTTGCCTGAAAAGAGCAACTGAGAACAGGCGCCAAAATGACACAAGACGACACCTGGCGCAGGCACCGGGAGGTAAAAAGCGACCCGGTTGGGTTGACGAGGCGACGCAAGATCTCTAACTCCCCAGTCCAACAAGCCTCCGCCCCCCAAACTTCAACCATCCTCCCTTAGCCCTGCTTTTCAAGCTCACTGTTGGCCACCTTCAAGGCTAGAGAATAACCTTGGGAAAGGCAAGGCAAGCCCGTCCGCCTATTTCCCCCCAGATTCGTAGCTGACGTTGAGGGGTTGAGTCATCCCTGGAAATGGGGAAAAGCCTTTTCGAGGCTTCTCCATCAGCCCACGCGACTCAAGGAGCTGGGAGCCAACGCGGGCGCTGCCAACCGCACACTTCCCCAGAGCCCCGGGCGCCAGCTCCGCTCCCGGCGGCAAACCGCCCGAGGTCGGACGCGCAGCCCGAGGCGCTCCGTCCGCCCCGGCGGGAGGGGAGGGTGGGGAGGGGAGGCTGAGTGCAGGTGGGGCCGCGAGCAGAAGCAGCCCTTCCGATCCCAAGGCGGGCCGGCGAGGGAAGTCCGCTGTCGCCCTCTGAAGCCAGGGCTCACAGCTTAGCTGCCGGGGGAGACGGGCTGGCCGGACCCTGGGGCACAAACCCCGATTTATCTGAAGGTATGGAGGCGGGAACCGCAGCTCAGGCGTGGGCGAGTGGCTGCCCGCGCTCGTGGGCGCCCAGCGCCGTGGACCCGGGAGTTCCCCACTCGGGAGGGTCGGGTGCGGCCCGCGCGCAGCGCCCAGCGCCCGTTGCCATGTCAACCCCGCACGCCCGGCGGAGCCCGCCAGCGCCGCGGGACTCCGCCGCTGCCGGAAGTGACGCGTTTCACCTGCCCGGGAGGGCGGGGTGAGGCTGCGGCGCAGAGGTGCCGCAGCTGGCAGCGAGTCGCGAGCGCGCGAGGCGCCGGGAGCCTGAGACCCCGGGCGAGAGCTCTCTCCCTGCCGTCGCCGCCCGCGGCCGGGCCTCCACCATGGCGCTTCTGCTGCGCTTCCTGCTTCTGTGCGGAGTCTCTGGTGAGTGAAGCCAGTGCGGTCCCTAGTATCCCCATTGCCTGGCCAGCCCCGGGGCGCTGGCTGCCTGCGGCTACCCGGGAACAATGCGGCGTGGGGGAGGGGGGCGGGCGCGATTTGGGGTCGCTGCGGCAGGGGTGGCCGGGCGGGCTGATTTGCAGGGGTGATTTTGCCGGGCTGGGTGCGCGAGCCGGGAAGGCGGAGGGGCTCGTAAGGAAGCCATGCAGGGGCGTGGGGTGTGGAGTGTCCGGAGTAGGGGACGTTGGCGGAGCCGGGCGCCGAGCCCTGGGATGAGGGGCGCCGTGCAGGGGTTCTTGGGGCGCGGGTGGGTGGGCGCGGCGTGCTGCATTTGCGCCTGCCGTTGCTCCATCTCCATTCTTTGCCGCCAGTTCGGGCTTTGCTTTCTGTGTTCTTGATAGACCCTTTTTCGCAGCCTTGTCGTGTCTGTCCAGGATTACCCGATTTCAAAAGCCTGAGCGGCGAGTTTTCAGGTGTCGACCGGTTCCAAGCGGAAAGACTGAATTACAAACGCCATGATTAAATGGACACTGAGCTCGAGGTCGTCCCTGCTACCTCTAGGAAAGAGGCGCTGAGTGAACCGGCGCTGAGCGTCTTCGATCTGGTCGGAGAGGCAGGTAGCTCGAAGTAGACGTTAGGAAATCAAAAGCAGGTTTTTGCAAAAATGCATTATTGATTTGTGCAATCCCAGGACAAAGTGCGAAGGGGAAATTCCTAACCTCAGTAAGATGATTCATTTTAAAGATAAGAAGGGGTGACTAGTACAGAGCGATTCCTAAAGGAATGGCCAAGTAGTACATTTTCAATTGTTCCTTTATCAGGAGGGAAACGGAGGCATTTAATAAATGTGTGGACCATTAGGAAACATAATCATTTCGGATTTTTAAAAAATCTGATCCATTTCTTTGTCAGCTTTTTAACCAATTGATGTTGTTTGTCAAAATAAGCATTTGTCTCATTTTATAACCTAGTGATTCATTTTTTAAAAAATCCGTAAGTATGGCCCTAGGAGGCACACTGTAGCCTCCGGAAGGGTAATTTTTTTTTTAAGGTTCTAAAGCAGGATCAGGTGGCCCCTTCTGTTGGGATGTCTCTCTACTTCCTGTTCAAATGTTAATTTCATTGTTGGATGCCACAGCTGTGAGCATTACTCATGGGACTAACATTCTATTAACAAGTGTAATCATCAATCTGAGTCTATAGCACTACCTCCACCTTTTTGATACATATCATTTGGACTTGGCTGAAATTTCTAAAGTAAATCTTCTGGAAAAGATGAAGGGTCAGTAACCAGTTGACACAGTACATTTCCTTTTTTGTTTTGTGAAGGACTAAACTGAAGTTGAAATGGCAAATACAAAGTTTGTGTTCTCTATGGAAAAAAAGTGTTTTAGGCTGCATGTAAACTGCAACAGTGGAAGAACATAAGCCATGAAGAGGACTTTTTTCCCCTAGGAATGTTGAGATAACTGGGTGTTTTCCTGGATGCCGCACTTTGGTAGGCACAGTCTCAACCAAGGATATCTTGATACTTACAGAGTTATTCTGCTCATAAAGTGTACAGCAAGCTACAGTGCACATCTCATTACAGGTCTGTTGTCTTTAGCTAAACAAGACAACTATTTTTCATTTTCCAGCTTAGTAGACAACTCAGAACCTGTGTGATTGATGTATGGTTTTGACAGTTTTCTTCAGCCACTACCTTAGAAATGTATTGCTCCGAACTCAAGTTGAGTGGTAGCATGACCCTACAATTGGCAAAATGAGGTGGGGGCTTACATATTTTAAAAATTGCAGTCCTGTCAGTGGTAGAGCTTCCTTTAGAGCTGTCTCTGTATATTTGTAAAGAGTTTTGTGGTGAACTCTTATTGCTGGTACAACTCCTTTTGATGCATTTTAATTGCCAACCTAGTGCAAGTCATACTACAGTACTTGTAATGGTAGTGGCAGTAGTAGTAAAGCATTAACAGTGGTAGTAAAATTAAAGCCTGGATCAAGCAGTTATTAAATACCAGGCATTGTTCTAGGGGCTTTACATATACTCAGTGTACCTAGCAACCCTGGACGGTACATATTATGATGAACCCTGTTGTACAAGACAGGAAACTGAGGCACAGTGGTTCTGTAACTTGCCTTGATCACAGATTTCCTCCTTAATCCTTGCTCTTATAACTATGCTCGTCTGTCTCTAAAGTAGCTACTTTCTTTACTTTTTGATCACCTCTGATCTGCATCCTTTACTGGTTATGAGCCATTTTAATTTCCATCACTGGTTATGAGCCATTTATTAAGAACCTGCTGTTGGCTTGGCTGTGTGACATGTACAAAAATTTTTATTATTAGCCTTTTAAATTCTTTATCTTTGTTGAAACCACAAGGATCAAGGGCTGAGACTGGTGTTGTAGACTAATGTGGCTCATGTACCGGCAGTAGCTGCAGCGGCAGCGACTGGGATCATGTTGAAATTTGGGGCATTGCTATGTTTCACAGTGTCAACATGAATGGTACTAAAGATATACTGACCACTTGTTAGTCATTTGATGGCAGCAGGCCTCTGTCCTCTCTGTGTGCCTCAGTTGCTTTATGTGTCAAGAATAGGGATTCCTACTATCTCAGACTTGTTGAGGAGCAAAGTGAAAAGCTTATCTCTTTGCTTTCCTGGAGTCTTTTCATTATACACACATATGTGTGTGTGTGTGTGTGTATATATATATATATGTGACTATTATTAGATGTGAACTTTATCATTCTGTACACCTCTCTCGATATTTACATTCCTGCCATTATACCAACCACCAGAGCAGAAGTTGCCTCATCTCCGAGCCGAGCTGAGCCGTCCTATATTGGCTCCTTAACGTATCTGTTGTGGGGTCTCCATCAATTACTCCATCTATCTCATTGCACTGGGTCAAAGGGCAGGGGCATTCCCTGTGTTGTTTGCTGTTATAATACCAGTGTTAGCTTGTGGCCTGCAGCGTTCAGCAAATGTTGGCAACTTGAGGTTTTCAACCACTTTGCCGCTAGGCCCATGTATGTGATGTAGCTCTTGTCGGTTCCATTTCTCTCTCTCTTCTCATCCAAGAAAGATGGCCCTTGTAGAGATCATTTCACTAGCCTTGCCTCATTCAGTTATTAGTCTAAAGAAGGTAAGCATCTGCTGTATCTTGGCCTCAGTGTTCTGTTCCACACCCTCCCCACCCTCGCTTCAGTTGCCAAAGGTATCAATCACATGTGCCATGTATTTTTTTGAAGCTCCTTAACACCTGTTGTGTTCATTTCCCACCCTGTTAGCCTGTTTTGTATGACCTTCTACTTTAGGACCTCAGCCTTGGCCTTCCCAGGACTATTTGTCTCATAGTCCTCTTCTCAGTCTCTATCTTAAAACTGGGTGACCTTACCTATTCCTCTAACCTCCAAATAGTTGCTAGTGACTTAAAAAGATTGCAGCTCAGCCCGTCTTTCCTTTGAGTTACAGGCCTTTATTTCAAACTGTGTAACATTCAGCATCTACCTGAGTACTCTTGAGTACCTCAGAGTCATCAGTTAATTAATACATTAAATGATCCAGTCATTCACTTATTTATGGCCTACTATGTACTCTGCTTGTGCTAGGGCCTGTTACATTAGTATAGGACTGCCAGGTGCAGGTTTGATGGGACATTCCCAAAGATGGTACATCATACTCTTGAAAGGGTATGATGTGTCATGGGAGTTGAGAAATTCAGGGCAGAGTATAAAGCATCTAGCCAGCAGTTCTCACACTTTTGATGTGCACTGGAGTCGTTCTTAGAAGAAAATGTGGGGTGGGGCCTGAGATTTTACATTTTAACAAGTTCCCCATGCATCACTGCTGACCACACTTTGGGTGGGCAAAGATCTAAAGGTTTTTCCAAGAGCTTATAAGGAGATAAGGGATGGACATCTGTCAAGTTAAAGTGTCGTGTCTCGTCCCCCCCCCCCCCGCAGTGGCACCAAGAAGTGAGGTTACACCCTGATGTCATTCTCTTGAATGGTGCAAAACCCCATAGCAGTGCTGGAGGCAGGCAGAACTGATGGATCTAACCAGGACTCCGTGGGGGAGGATCTGGATATAAACAGTCTCTGTTGAAACCCGGCAGAGTGGTGTTGGGCTTCCTCTTTGATCTGGAAAGTTGTTTTGAGGGAGATGCAGTGGAGCCTGATATTTGGGTGAATGAGTGGCAAGAAAAAGCTGGAGAGAAGCAGTAAGATTTTTGGCTCTAGTGAATGCTAGATTCTAGTGAATCTAGTTAGTGCTGATGTCACTAACCTGCAAGGGATAAAGAAAAGAGGAACAAGTTTTAGGGAGGTGACAAGGAGCTTAAGTTTAAACAGGTTGTATTTGAGGTGCCTGAGGGGAATGAAGATGAAAAATACCTAGTGAAGGAGATTTAAGAAAAGGACCGCATTTCAGGAGCGAGGCAAGGATTAGTAAGAGACGGGTGAGAGTCTCCCGTGATAGGTGGCGTCTGTGTAAGGTTAACCAGGAAGAGCGGGAAGACTAGAAGAGGAGACGAAATGTGACCCTGGGGGAAGATCAGCATCTAGCAAGTAAACAGAAGGTGAACAACAATGAGGAGTGACAGGGGCCAGGAGTGACAGAAACCAGGAGAACCGGAGGATGAGGGGGTCTCGGATAGCTGATGCAGAAATGAGGCCAGTGGGTGTTCTCATTAGGAGATTATTAAGAACATTCAGGAAAATCATTGATTTCACAGGGAGGACAGCTTTTGTAGCAGTGTGAGTAAAATGAGGTTGTAATAGATTTACAACCTATCGGGTCTAGCGTAAGTGGAGAGTGAGAAATGTACTGTACACTTGCAGTTGTTTTGATAGTGACGCTTTGCACATATGGCCGTAATTCCAGGGGACTGAAGCAGACCAGGGGAGAAGGTAGAAGCCAGCAGATAATGAGTCCTGTAACTTCCAGGCCCCTGGACCCACAGCCTTTTTGCTCATTTCCCTTT